GGTGGGGGGGGGAAGGGGGCGAGAAAGGAAGGTGAGAGATAAGGAAAGGTCTCAGTTGGAGAGAATATTTAATAAAAAAGGCTTTCTTCTAAATCTTTTAAACGTTGTCTTCCTTTCTCCCGATAATTTCTTCACCTAGATCATTTGTGTGTGCCTTGCGAGGGATGCCCGGGGACCTTTTGCTTTATTGCTGGACTAAAAGTGTAAGGTTTTGATTTTTCCGTCCCAAAAAGAAACACAATTCACTTTCACAATGTTCTGGGGGTACCAACAAATGCTCCGATTTATATTAGCATGTATAAGTGGGAACAAAGGCAAACACATTCTATCGGCCTCTATGGTGTACCTGTTAGGTGCCTTGCTGTCACGTTCAGGAGACCCTAGCTTGATTCCCAATTAAACAAAATATTTATTGAGTATCTAGGTCTTTCTGTTGCATTCCCCTTAACACGTATTGGCCCTGACAGGGAGGTGTCGAAGCCCGCTACCTTAATGATCTAAATGAGCATAAAAACACCTGTATACAAAAGAAAGACAGCAAAACAAAACCCTACCTCTGCCGTGTATGTAGATCGTTTTGCTCAATCTTGAGCTGGTCCAGATATTTCTTGCCTGGCACGCGTAGTTTGATCCAAATAATTTTGGAAACACATTGTAGTTTGCCATGGTTATGCTCGTCGAGGCAACCCTTATCCCGTCTTGGTAGAGGGACGACCACGGTGAATCACCTATTCTGCAGCTCAACACAGATACATTTCTTCCGGCATTTGTCCAATACGATGCCCCGTAAATATTTAATCCATAGAAGTTGGAAACTGAAAGTTAAGATAAAGACAAAGAACAAGTTTTGATTAGCCAGGGTACCAAAATCTAAAAATGAAACTAGGCATTCTGCATGTCTGGGATTTATCTCTCCTCATTTTCCAACTTACATCTTTGCTACATGGCTACATTAAACGTTGGGTTTTTCAGGAGACTCGCCACGGACTTTTAAAGAAAATTCTGATGTATACCTCGATACCATAAAAAACTTCAGTTCTCTCTCTGGTATATAACCATCTTTTTTTTTTGGGTCGCTTTCTCTTTACAATGCAGGTGCGTTGTGGAATACAAAGGCTGTCTAAGAAACAATAAAAAGTAAATGGTTATAAAATGAAACTTCAGTTCCCTCTATGTAGATAGCCAGCCTTTTTTGGTCACTTTTTTTTACAATGCAGGTATAATAATGCAGTGCGTTGTGGAATACAAAGGCTGTCTAAGAAACAATAAAAAGTAAATGGTTATAAAATGAAACTTCAGTTCCCTCTATGTAGATAGCCAGCCTTTTTTGGTCACTTTTTGTTACAATGCAGGTATAATAATGCAGTGCGTTATGGAATACAAAGGCTGTCTGAAAAACAATATGAAGTAAATGGTTATAAAATGAAAAGCTTGTCATGATTGAGATACAACCTACACATTTTGTTTACTAAATATTCCATTTATTTTCAACGTAATTCCCATAAACATTTAAGTAATTTTCCGACCACTGCATGAATAAATGCTTGCCATCTCAGTACAATTTTATGTCAAGTAACCGCCGTTAATTTCTGACATGATCCACAAGGTTTGTATCATCAGTGATTTTCTTCCCGGTTAGATATCGGTGCATTGATCCAAACAGATACAATTCTGCATAGACAAAATCAGGACTGATCCAACATGCTTTCACTAAGTTCTCGAAAGTCACCAGCAGGCAAGGCCAAGTTCCCATATTGTCTGCAGTTTGTCTGCATTGTTGTAACAATGCTGTGCAAACATCGACGTGCGGTGCCTTGTGGTGGTCATCCGTCAACTGCTTTGGACCCCCACGGAACTAATACTTTTCTGTATCCAACTCTTTAGGGACAAAACTGTTCACTTAATAAGGTCTAGGGTATCAACAATATCACGGATTTCTAGTCTTCTGTAAACATTTACTAGTTTGTGAATGCGTGCAGCATTATTTTTCAGTATGAGCAGAACGATGACAGCTTCTGATTAAGCTCATCGTGTAGATTTGTATGCCCCTCTTTAGAAAAATTGTACCACTGGTAGACCGTTGACGTGCTTAAAAACATGCTGACCATAAGCACTTTTAGATTTTGGGTGCATGGCAGTGGGATTTTCCAATCTGCGTGAAGAAACCAACATTTTAAGACACATTTCCTTGGCCAGCATACCGTGCCTGGCAGGGTAAGAAGAACTCAGAGTCATCTTAAGTGACCATCACTTTCGGTGCATGAAATATGCGCATCCTCCATGACCGTGCCAGGACAAAAACGACCCGAGAAATGGACAGCCTCACTGCCAGTGAACCGTACCGATGCGACACGGTTGCAGATTATTGCTATCAGTGACCCTCGTCTAGCAAAGGAAGGACAAGTCACAGAGCAGTCTAGAGGCTATACGTTTTTCTGGATCGGGTGTAGACTCGATGAGCGGAATGAGGCAGGAGTTGGTTTAGTTTTGCCATCAGATTCAACCTGGTCAACAAGCTGGCAGCTCCCCCCCCCCCACACACACACACATCCACAAGGGAATCAACAGTTGTCTGATGGCGAGCCTACTGCTTGTCAAGAAGAGATTCACCAAGCTGTTCAGCGCCTACGCCCTCACTTTGACCAAACACGACGAGGTGAAATAAAGATTCTACGAGAATCCAAAGGACACCAACTCGACCTTACGAAGGGCAGACAAACCCATCATTTTTGGTGATATCAACACCTGATTCGATAGATACCAGAAGTCGTCGGAGGTATTGCAAGGGAAACACGGTGTTGACAATTGCAACTGCAGCGGCCTCCTCCTGCTGGAAACTCTCGCTGCACTCAATCTTCTGATCTCCAACGATATGAACATCTGTGTAAACCACCCACGAGGCTCCAAGGCATCAAAGACCCCCGGCGATGAACGTCTCCAAGCTCAACAGAGGCCCCGTCAAGCAAATCCTGGTGGTAAAGCTATAAATTAATCTACAACCACCCGACACAGACATGTAAGCTGTTGAGGAAGCCGAGTGGGTGAGTCTCCGTGACGCTGTCTACAGCGATAAGGTTCTGTCCTCTCTGCTCCCAGACAGTGCCATTTAGTGTGCCTGGGGCTGTGTTGGCTTTTATCGATTTTGTAGGCCATCCTCTCGTCGATATTAGTGTAGCGTGATAGGGTACTGCCAAGCTAGAATAATTAACTGACACTGTTAGTCTCTAGCTTTGATTGAGAGTTGGTCGGGCTCCTTAAAGCAGCAGCCAAGGCTAACTGTTGTTGTAATTCGGTCTTCCTAGTGGAGATAGTGAATCCGAAGTCATCGCAGGCTTTGAATAGCGGGTTTATGCTTCCTTGCATGACTGCCTGTGTATTGGCATTCAGCGCACAGTCGTCGACAAATAGGAAATCGCGGGCTGTGTCTTTCTTTCTTTTAGGTCTTTGCCTGCAGTCTCTGAAGATGGAAGAGTTTCCCAACGATACACGGTATCGGAAACCGACACCGATGTCTTCGTCACGGATGGCGTCGATCAGCATGGCGGAAAACACCACGTAGCCCTGCTTAACTTTGTTAGTGACTGGAATGAGCTGGGAGTAATCGCCGCCATCCTGCACTTTTGCGTTCATGCCATCGTAGAATTGATGGAGCACCGGGATATACTTGTGGAGCACCCAAACTTGACCAAGGTCCTCTACAGCTCTTCTCGGATAAACAGTGCCAAACGCTTTTGTCAGGACGAAAGTCCAACAATCTGCTCCTGGTACTTCTCTTGCAATTGTCTAGCAGCAAAGATCATGTCCATGGAACTGCGTCCTTCACGGAAACCATACTGGCCCTTAGAGAAAAGATTGCGTCCCAAGTGTGTGTTGAGGCGATTGAACAGGATGCTAGCCAGGATATTCCCAGCGAAGGAAAGAAAGGAGATATCGTGGTGGTTGCCAATGGTGTTCCTGTTTCCTTTGCACTTTCAGAAATAGATAATGGAAGTCTTTGAGTTCTTGTCGAGGTGAACAGGCTTGTCAGTCTCTATATAAGCGGTGTTCTACCTCAGCTGGGATGGAGTGTCTTGTAGCTGGACAGGCACTTGATAGCAATCACAACTTCTTCTGTTTGGGTCTGCCAGCATGTAATCCGTTGGGGCTTCCAATAGCCTTACGATCACTTCGTCACCAATAATTGGTGATCTATTGAGGACATTATTGAAGTGTTCTGTCCAGTGATCGAGGATCTTTTCCTTCTTCAAAATAAGCATCTTTCCACTTACACTGTAGAGAAGGAATGACTCAGATGAATTGGTCCGTAACCGGTCTTGAGAGGGTTGTAGACGTTGTTCATGTCTTTCTTATCTGCGTGGGCTTGGATGGCGTTGGCCTTCTTGCTGAGGTATTTGTCTTGCTTACGACGATGTTTGGGCTAAACTTTTTTTTCGACCACGTTAAACCATGCTTTCTTTGAAGTGGAGGAGGGATCATTGAGCGGTGCTCTGCAGAATTGATGATGCTTTTCCTCTGTTGGCGCCTGGATGCGACAGGGCATCAGGCCCAAAGTTTATTGAGCAGTATGTAGTTTTGTCATCCCTGCTCTACACCTGCAAAACGAGGACGGTCTACAGCCAGTATACCTAGCAGGTCAATGCTTTCCGCATAAAATGCCTTGAGGCCCTGCTCCGTGTCAAGTGGCAAGACAGAGTAACAAACTGAGGTACTCATGACTTATAATGCCTGGGACGAAGCAGCTCAAGACTACCTTGTCTGCCTTTACTAAGTAAGATCCGAAGTTGTTGAATTTGAAGAGACGAATGAGGCACCATGTATGTAAGTTTGTATGTACGTGTGTGCGTTTGTATTTGTGTGTGTGTGTGTGTGTGTGTATGTGTGTGTGTGTGTGTGTGTGTGTGTGTGTGTGTGTGTGTGACCCTCTCTCTATCTATCTGTTTATAGACTTAACTATCTATCTATCTACCTTATTCACACTGTTCATAACCCACGGACGAAACAACATGTCAACTGTTTTGTTGTACCGTAGAGAACGAGCAAATAGATCAATTAGATCTTCACTGTACCCTCCACTTTTTTCAATGACGTTTCAGACATTAAAATGATGATCTCCCCTCATTCTGTTTTGTCTTCGTTCGGGCGATGCTGGGTTCTTTGTCTATCTTGTTAGGCATTCATGTATTCTTTGTATGTTGCATTGCGTGATCTACCAGACAAGGTTAATGAGGGCAACTGTTCTCTAATTACTATTGCATTCCAGATCGGGTTTTTTTTTCTTTGCTTATATGACGTATATCGATTATTTTGACTTCAAACTGTTGTTCTCCAGATTTTCAGACACAATAATTTACAGCGCAAAAATGAGTTCGTGCTTCACCCCCCCCCCTCCCCCTATCTTCTCTTTGATAAATTCAAAAGACACTCTCTCTTTCTCTTAATCTCTCTCTCTCTCACTCTTTTTCTCTTTTTCTCTCTCTCTTTATCTGTTTCTCTCTCTTTTTTTCTCTCCCTCTCCCTCTCTCTCTCTCTCTCTCTCTCTCTCTCTCTCTCTGATTTTCAGCCATTTTGAAGCCCACTTCCAAAAATGATCTATATAGTGTCGATGGTGAAGTAAAAACACCTACACTTTATAAAGATTCAAGACTGCACGCAAGCAGGTGGTAGGCCCCTCAAATGGCTCACCCCAGCTTCTAAATTCAGATGCTTATTTCTAAAATATTGTACATCAGTTGTCTTGAAGGTTTTCTCCACTTCCTTTTGTCTTTCTTTTTGTTCTTTCTTCTATCTTTTTCTCTACCGTTTCCTACGTTCTTTGGTTTGGAAACAATAATTAATAGTCTGTCTTTTTAAATGGACAAAGCAGTCATTAAAGAAGCACAAACATAATAAATATGCTTTACAGTTTTATCTCTTCTGTCAGTCTTTCTTCCTTCCATCTGGCTCCTTTGTTCTGACTTTTGGTTAGATGCTTAGTACTTTTCACAGCTTGTTTTTATAATTTACATGACATTGAACTATCAGGGAGAGTTTTTGGAAATGCTTTAAATCTATAGCAAATTCCCCCAAAAATATATTTTTGACTCTTACAATTCAGGTAAACAGAGTCAAACACCCTACCTCTAAACGGTGCATATGATGTGGCGATTGGAGCTTAAAAGTGTTCAAGAACTGTATTACTACCACTCTAGGGTTAAGCCAAAGGCCTTAAAAATGGTTTCTTTGTCTGCGAAAAGTAAAGTATCAAAAAATTTGTTACAAAATGAAAACAAACGAAGCATTTAATGTCTTCAGGTAGCAGTACCAAAGCATTGGGTTTGAGTGATTAACATGCTACGTGACTAGATTTCTTAAAAGACACAAATTTTTGCTTACTTTTCACATGTACACACCTTTCTCTGTGCATAAGGCGGTTTTCTTTCTAGCTACACACAGGTTTGTTTGATGGACTCATCAGAAGTATCTGAAAGCGGGAGGCGCTTTGATCAAATTTATGAAACTTGACTGAACACAATGCACAGTATCTTTCTCAGAGCACAAACGTGTGAAAAACGATGATAAATTGGTAGACGAGAAGGCCGTAAGACGTTTAAGTCTTCCTCGTTCTCTCGTGCCCTTTGGTTGCCCACTGGGATCTTTTGCCGATTTAGCTTTCAGCCGGAAACACGGATTGGGAGAAGATGGATGCATGGAATCAATGTTAAGTGTGTGAAATCCATTTGTGGTTTTTTCCCCTTGGCAATCGACCAGTACTTCGCTGTAGGGCTGAACGATTGATAACCTGCGTCTCTCCCAAAAGCAGCGAGAAATAATTTCACGTTTAGTCCGCTGCCACCTTTACTTCTTTGACAAACAAATGAAAACTCGAATGTCTGAGTGTTTGTGTTAAATTGTCCTGAGGTAAACGTGATCGGAAGGCGACAAAAGAAAGTCAACAATTTTAAGTAATGCCCCTTGAGGGTTATGAACATGGACTAAAAGATCCCTGTAAGCTCTCTCTCTCTCTCTCTCTCTCTCTCTCTCTCTCTCTCTCTCTCTCTTT